AGGGGGATGAGATGGCAGCAGCAGCGGAGCACCACGGGGTCCACCGAACCCAGAGCACCCAGAGCTCCCACCGCAGCCAAGTTCTGCCTTCAGCTACACAGCTGTGCTGCAAAGGCGTGCTGGGGGGTGAGTGGGGACAAGATTCATCGGGATATCCCACACAAATAAGGCAAAGAGCATCCGCCAGTCCCCGGGAGGAGACAGCATCAGCCCCAATGACTGCCCACCCCTCACTCCCCCTCGACTGTGCTGCCAGAGCAACGCTGTCCCGTCAGCAGTGACAAAACCAGACCCCCCCAGGGGCCCAGCCGCTGGTAGCTGGTACCCTGACCATGCCATCCCCTTGCAGGCGCTCGCTGGGACATCCCGTCCGGCACGATCGCAGATGCTCGGCTGAAGGAGCTGACGCCCGTGATGCCGGTCATCTTCATCAGAGCCATCCCCGTGGACCGCCTGGACACCAAGAACGTCTACGAATGTCCTGTCTATAAGACACGGATGCGAGGTCCCACCTACATCTGGACCTTCAACCTAAAGACAAAAGAAAAAGCTGCAAAGTGGATCCTTGCTGGTGTTGCTCTGCTCTTACAGAACTAAACTTTGACTGTGGGAAAATGCTTTTACTTGCAAAAACCCCTCAAAGTTGTGTAACTTGGACTGAGTTTGATTGTTCCAGAACTGTTTTAGCAAAGTGTCAATAAAAGCATTGCTGGAACTGCTGTTAGACACACGGAGGTTCTCGGGGCGAATACTGGTTTCAATGGGTGGTTTCTGATGAAGCGCTGGTTGGGAGCCAGACCACCGGAGGAAGCCAAAGGGAACAATCACACGCAGCTATCCAGCCTCCCTTCCTTCTCCCAGCCCTCCGCCTTTCCACAGCTCTTTGTCTGGTTGCCCTGCTCACTGCGAGCAGGAATTCACCCAGCCCCATGCACAGCGTGTTCCCGCGTGGAAGTGTGGATCGGTTCAGACCAGACGGAGGAGAAAGGCGCAGATCTGGCCCACTTCTCCCACACGTCAACCTGTACAACCCCGAGAAAGTGCAGCTGCACACAGATCCACCTCTGAAGTATGTTTATTTCTAGGCTATAGAATCCATGTTACCGTTTCTTCCACAACAAATAATTTGTGTCGGCAGTAGCGCCTGTGTCAGGGTGATTAGATCTGCTCTGGCCACGACACAGAAGCCAGTGCCTGTCCCTTTAGCGTGAAATAATTCACCAAAATCCCACCCCACGAAGCATCTGAACAATTAGCTCTAAAATACAGTTGCAAAGAACTGCCCTCACAGCTCGTGGTAAAAGCCACTGGGGGAGGCAAGCAGAGCTGCTCGTTAGTTTGTTCAGTAATGGCATTTAGAATAAATGACGGACGAGCTTCATGCTTACCTTCAGCCCTTCCAGGGGCCACAAACCCCTTTGTTGGCCACCCCAGCTCAGAATACGCTGCACCTGCAAGCCTGCGCTCCAACAGGTTCTTACCCAGCTCCCCCTTTGCAGGACACGTGTCGCGGTTTGAGCCTCCCCCTCTCAGCTAGTCACACCCAAAAATCACCCCGGCACCAGGGGTCCTCCCGTGCCCCCTCCACCGCTCCAGAGAGACCCTCATGACACCCCCGAACAGGAGCCGGGTGGCCAGCCCCAGACAGGCCGTGTTCATGTGAACAAAATAGGCATGTGAGCGCTCAGCGCCAAGGGCATGCGCTCGGGACCAGATGGGGGACGGGGGCACAGCACGGGCAAAACCCAGGAGCTCAGAAGGGCTCCAGCTACCGGGCAAACCCAGGACGCTGGACGAAGCAAAACTGTAAAAGTAACTGTCCCCATCAGCCAACATCCACAAGGGTAAAGCAAAGCACTGATCAGATCAAAAGAAGATGAAATATTCTCAATATTCCAACCACGTTCAAGATAAAATAAACACAGTCCTTCTCCACAGAACCCTGAAAGGGACATTTCAGAAACTGAAGTGTTGTTTCCATGCACAGGAAATACCCTTGTCTGTGTTCTCTTTCATTGCCCTTTCCAGAAATTCTAGCAGATGAAACCCAGCACAGACCTTGAGCAATGATTCCAGGCAGTGGCAAGAACCCCAGCAGAAAGGAGAAACGCCTGCCTGGTTTTTCCCCAGTCATCTGTGTTTCCATCGTCTACTTCTCCCACATGATAGAGTACTGCCCTGATTAACTGCAGTCAGCGCAACAGAAATTCCCCATAAGGATGGCAGAAAACTCACCCAAAGCAGCAACTTTTCTTCTTTCAAAAGAAATTCTTGATCAGAGGTGTCACCAGCTTCACCCACAGTTTCACGTAGCGGTTTGGCTGCTCAAATGTTGCTGCTGAGACAATGCCTGAGCGGAGGTAAAGCTGCTGCTGCTCCTGTACGGAGAGAGAAACATCGTCCCTGTAAATCCTGAGTGTTAAATTAGAGAATGGCCTTTAGGAAAAGCCAGGTCCCAGATAACACTGGCCGTGGATCCTGACGAAAGGATGCACCATTTCCCCCACAAGCCTGAACACAAGGGTCTCGTTCCACCAGGACACCTGAGGGGCACCAACCCTCCCGCGGGGCCAGCGCAGGACCTGTCCTCGTGCCCGCCGGCTGCAGCACCCCACCTTCCAACAACTGTCAGGGCGCTGAGCAACCGCACCGCCAGAACGTGCACTTTAATCTCTACAAAGAGCAAAGGGAGAAGGGTTTGCCTTTTTGTGCCCTACAGCTGCAGGGAGCTAAACTTCCATTTCACAAAAATCCCAAATCCCTCGCTGTGATTGCCAGAAAAGGAAACCTCACCATAATCTCAAGAGACCGGCTTACGCAGCTCTTTCTAGACACAGCTCGAGCGCTGTGTTTCCAAATGAATACGCAGTCATGATTTCAACTAAATTACCAGAAACACTCGGGCTGCTCCAGCATGTACACAACGCTGGGAAGGAGGAAATGAGCCATCGTGATGACAGTCCACGCTCGAGTTGCAGGTGAGAGCAGCTGTTTGATCAAGGGTAGAAGCAGTTTTCTTATCACAGCCCGTTAGGTTTCTACATTTACAGGCAAACAAGGAGCAGACCAGCTACCGTAGCTCTGCTCTTAATCCTTTTTTAATGAGCTAAGCTGTCATACACAGCAGAAAACACTGCACTGTTTAGATTCAGGGTGGAACAAGGAAGCAGGAACTAAGCATTGGAAAGTAACACCAAGAAGATGAACCAACAACAGGAGGAAGATGTTTGTGTGCTGAATCAGTCCAAGTTCAGAAATCCCAAACACTCCAAGAGCTGCAACCAGCCGGGCTGTGAGGATCCTGCACCGCAGTCACCTGCGGCGGTGAGCTCCGCAGATGCTGCAGGAGAGACCCATTATCTGAACCGATGCTCGGTTCATCCAGTGCAGCGTCCAAAGATACCCAGAGCACTCTGATTGCTTCCCAAACCCCATCACGCATTTTTAGAATGGAACTGAATGTTACAGGGCAAAGTGATTCCATGGCAGCGCACCAGCGATGTATTCATGCTGCTAAACAAAGGCCAGGGAACAGTAAACAAACAGCCAGCCTCCGAGTCAGCTTCCAGCAAACGGGAACGCTCTGACGCCCTTCGGGTTAGAGCACTGCGCACTGTTTGAGAAAATTCCTTTGTCATATTTTCATTGATTCTCCCCTTCCATTAGAAACAAGTAGAGGCAAGATATGAATTGAAATATTCAAGCAGCTCTTCCAGTAACAGAATTGTTTTTGATTAGACAGACTCTGACTCATCCTTGGAAGAGCCCTGATGCACGAGGGCAATTCCCAGTGATCCTGAGCACAACTGTGCTGCCTTATGCCAGGACCTGGCTTAACAGAAGGCGTTTTTGAGATCCCTGAGTCACACCCAGAGGCACCAAACCGATTTGTTTTGTACCAGAGCCCTGCCTGAGACCTGCCTGGGACAATGTCAGCTCCAGCAGAAGACACAGAGTCAAGACAGCTGGAGAATCAGACAGGATTTAGAGACGCAGCAAAAGTGCTGAGTCCAAGCTGCCTAATTAAAAAAACCTGGGATGCTGAACATTAAACCACTGAAAAATGTGTGTCAAAGTTATACAATGTCATATTACATAATGCCATATAACTTCACAGGCAACCCAACCAGCCCAGAAATCCTCTTCTTGTAGAAACTACCCAAAGATCCCCTGCCTTTATCCACCTGCACAGCCTGTGGAGCTGACTGGTCGGCATTTATACTCCCACAAAGGGTTTCCCAAATGCCTGAGAAGCAAGATCCTCCACAAGTCCAAGATCAGCAATTCACAGGGCCTGACCTCGCTGCCCTAGAGCGCAGGGCTACCTTGGCAATGCCCAAACGCTGCGGATAAGGCCCGAGAACGTGCTGTGTGATGGGCGAGCAGAGGAGAGCCGGCAGATCCTCCGAGTGCCGTGTCTCAGCATCCAGTGCCTGAGCGCTCCCGACACTCGAGTTCACTGGGGACACATGTTCTTTCCCGTTACAGCCTCCATTTCCCAGAAACAGGCGCTCGCAGCCGGCATCTCATCAATAGTCACTTAACTGACAGCTCCTTGAGACTGCCTATGCTCGAGCAGGTCTTGAATTATCGTAGCTGCAGGTTTTTATTGCAGCTGCGTCGCCAGCATTCCCTGTGTGACCGAGCAGCACAACATCCATGTTATCTCCCCGCGATCGGCCGCTTACCTGGTGGAGCTGCTGCTGCAGAGCTTTGTTTTCTGTCACTATCGCAACCTGAGCTTCCAAGTCCCGGTGAACCGATCGATACCCGAAGTTGGGAGAGCCGATCAGCGTGAGGCAGGGAAGGTCGCTGCCCGCCAGGTACAGCCAGAGCCCTGGGGAAAAACAGGAGAAGGGGGGAAGAGTGGCGGACAAAGGAAACAAGCGGGGTAGCCTCCAACAATCGCCTCACTGAGAAGAAATGAATTAAACACATTAGACAACAGTAACTGCAAAAGCTCACGACACAAGGCGAGCCTCCTTGCAGACGGCCGAGAATGTACGAATGCCGGGGTGCCCTTGCCCAGCCTGCACTGGCCAAACTTGCCTGCTCTGGCCAGCGGGTGCAGCACGCTCAGTGCCACCCTGGGGACACTTTGTAAGGATGAAAATACGCTGTTGGAGGGCCCCCAAAATATCCCAGAACGAGTTACTAGCATTAAGGGAGAGGTCGTTTTGCACCACGGCATAGCTCAGAAAGCCCGAAATAAGACAAGTCAAGGAAAACCCGCACCCGACCCAGGCCAGTCCGTCCCAGAGCTGAAAGCTGCGGGTGACACGGTGACTAACCCCTTCCCGAGACTGCAAAGGACGGTGACATGAAGAGGCATCTCCCTGCTGCGACAGGTGAATTCACACGAAATAAGGACTCGTAAGAGAAGGGCAAATTATGCCACCCACTCACTTCCTGAGCAGCCACCCGCAGATGCAATCAGGCTCTTGCGGGAGGCAGGACTCCCAGCTCCACTGTCCCCACACAGCTTCGCCAGCGCAACAGCAAGCGCAGGCGTGACACAAGCCCGGACGGCGTTTCAAGCACTGGATGGGAACGCCGTGCTATCCTCAAGCACATGACTGCAGCAGGGATGCCAGCGGAGAGCCAGGACTACCGCCAAGGAGAGTCCCTACAG